AGCAAAGGGCATTGATTGGAAAGATAGTAAATTGAGAGGACGCATTTTGGCAGTGTTGGGCGGGTCGTTGAAGGATGGAGCCGCACAGTGGTACATCGTCAAGAAGGACGAGGTGCAGAGTGTTGAAGACTTCTTTGGCAAGTTGGAGGAAGAGTTTGTCCCTCCAGATTTGCAAGAACGTCTACGAGATCAGATGAACGACTTGAAGGAGCGTCATTGCAAGGACTTGCCTGATTATATCAGCAAGTTCAGGCACTTGATCACTCAAGTCAAGGAAATGAGTGAGCTGGACAAGATCATGTATTTCTTGCGTGGATTGTCGTCAAGTATCAGCGAAGAAGTCCAGTACCGTAGAAGTGCAACGTTGACCGACGCAATTACAGTAGCGCTCGATTATGAACGGTCTCACGCGCATCGAGGACGTTCGGATAGCGCCCGCGATAAACCAAGGTATCGGTCGTACGATAGCAAACGATCGAAGAATCAGAACGATGGACCAGTGCCGATGGAGATCGACAACGTAAGGGTGCCATCAAAGGAAGAGTGCATGCGCCGAAACTTATGTTTCAGGTGCGGTAGTGCCGCACATCGGGCTCGACAATGTCCGATGCAGCAGCAACAGACGTTTGGGGCCAGAAGGAATGCGCCGCGATACAACAACACGCGGTACAACAACGCGAATAATGGCCAACGTCGCGAAAAGCCGAGAATGAACATGGTTCTCGAAGATGACGACCAAGTGGATACCGTCGTCATGGATCGTGTAACGATGAATGTAGCTGACGTCAAAGACGAAGCAGATGAGCTACTGGAGACCGTAAAAGACATCCGAAAGAAGGTAGAAGAAACCTACAGCGCTACAGGAGAGACGTCAGAAGAGACTGGCTTGTGCGGAGCACCGCCAGTAGACGTCGCAGGTGTGCATGCGATGCAACCTGAAGCAAAGGCGGAAGAGCATGCGATGCAATCCGCAGAGGAGTTGGAAACGCCAGAATCGCGACCAACCGAGGTGACTATGAAAGTCAACGCTGTAAAGTCGGAACAGAAGTGTAATCTGTTTATCAAGAAAGGCCGCATCAACGGCAGGGATGTCCGAATCTTGCTGGACACAGGTGCTAGCACGAACATGATTAAGCCAGGGATGGCGAGTAACGTGCTACTGTCCAGAAGATTGCAGGCTCAACGCTTTGATGGTACCGGTACATTGACTCCGGCCACGGATGTCAAGCACGTTGAAGCACCAGTGAGCATGGATGGTTATTTCTTTCCAGCGATGGAGTTCGTGGAATGGAAGTTGCCAGATTCTCATGATGTTATTTTCGGGAAACCCTGGTTTGAGGACTTGAATCCACAAATAAACTGGCAAACACACGAAGTTCAGATCCCAGAGAAGTTTCAGTTCAACGATGTTGATGGACCAGAATTCTCAGACAATATAAAATCTGGAAAGTACGAACAAGTGTTCCGGGTTAAGGTTCAACTTGTAGCAGACGTCGAAGCAATCCCTGACCCTATTCGGAAGGTAGTTGTTGACGAGTTCAAGGATGTGTTCCCTGAACAATTGCCAGACGGTTTACCACCGTCGCGGTCAGTCAACTTTGAGATTACGCTAAAGAAAGGAGCTCAGCCGAGTAACCGCGCACCGTTCCGTATGTCAAAAATGGAACAGGAGGCGTTCGAAGAGTTTGTCAAGGACAAATTGAAGAAAGGATGGATCGAAGTATCGAATTCCCCGTGGGTTTCGAACATCTTTGCAATTCCGAAGAAGGATCCAGTAACAGGGATGATGCAAAAGAGAGCAGACTGGCTACGTAGTGGGATTACGAAGATTCCGCTACGATGGGTCTTTGATTACTGACACCTTAACCAAGTGACGGTTATTGCAAAGATTCCGCTGCCTTTGATCGAAGAGTTATTCGACCAAATGGTGGGATGTGTCGTTTACAGTTTGATCGATCTCGCGCAAGGGTATCATCAAATGATTGTGGTAAAATCAAGCCGACCCTACACAGCGTTCCGCACGCACAAGGAGACGTACCAATGGTGTGTAGCACCTATGGGAGTGGCAGGAATGCCAGGAACATGGTCACGTTTGATGCGTACACTGTTCGACAAGTTCGATTTTGTCGTCGTGTACTTGGATGATATCTGCATTTTTTCCAAGACTATGGAAGAGCATGTAGAGCATCTGCGTGCCGTCTGTGAAGTGTTGCGTCGAGAGAAACTGTACGCTCGTTTGTCTAAATGTTCGTTTGGACAGTCAGAAGTGGCATTCTTAGGACACGTGGTGTCTGAAGCAGGCGTAAGTGTAGACCCACGGAAGACTGAGGCAATTGCGAAGTACCCAACCCCGACGAACAGAAAGGAGCTATTGAGCTTTCTGGGTTTAGCAGGGTATTATCGTCGATTTATATGCGATTTCGCAAAGATTGCGCGTCCGTTGAGGGAGTTAACAAAGCAAGACACACCGTGGTTGTGGTCTAAGAATGTGGAGGAAGCATACTTTCATCTCAAGGTTTCGCTGCAACAGGCACCTACGCTAAAGTTACCAGACTTTGGGCGACCGTTCATTGTAACAACAGATGCGTCTGGAGAGTGCATTGGAGGGGTTTTATCGCAGAAGTATGGCGATGAAGATCATCCAGTTGCGTTCTACTCGAAGAAGTTGGATCGACATGAAAGAGGCTGGCCGACGCATGAGAAAGAACTCCTAGCTATTAAAGTGGCTACGGAGAAGTGGAGACACTACCTACATGGCCGTCCGTTTGCAGGGGATACGGACAATTCGGCATGTTCCTGGATGTTGCATCATCCACGAGTGTCACCAAAGATGGCTAGGTTCCTCACGCATTTCTCGCAGTTTACGTTCACGTTGCACCATGTTAGGGGCAAAGCGAATGTAGTTGCAGATGCACTATCCCGTCCTCCACCGGATGGACAGGATACGGAAAAGGATAAAGAACCGCCGTTACCTGATGTGACCTTTGAAGTCCATGACTGTGATGAAGAATGTGCCAAGATGGCATCACAGACTCATGATCATATGGTCCAAGCATCAATGATCCGTCATCTATCAGCCGATGATTTACACATGTTACTCGACGATGTCGATTTGCAGGGGGAGAGTCGTCCTATTGGTGTACCTCAGCAGCAAATCAACACTGTCGATTACCATTTCGTCTCATCTCACTTGGGACCAGAGACGAAGAAAGCGTTCCAACAAGGTTACGCGTCCGACCCTGTATTCAAGCAACAGTGGTCGAAGGGGACAGACACTGAGAAGTTCGTAAAGCATAATGATCTTCTGTTCTTCAAACAGAAGCAAGGAGAATCTGTCTACAGATTGTGTGTGCCCAAATCCGAGAAGCTTCGCACGGATGTCATCACAGAGTTTCACGATGGAAATACATCCGCGCATCCGGGAAGCAGGCGGACGTATCTAAAAGCAGCACAATGGTACTATTGGCCAACGATGGATCAAGATATCAGAGAGTATGTGCGTACTTGTGAAACGTGCGCACGATGGAAGTCCAGCAGTCAGAGAAAGAAGGGTCTGCTGATACCAATTCCAGCACCATTGGAATGTTGGGAAGTGGTGTCCATGGACTTTATTACGGGTTTACCAGCGTCAGAAGGGTACGATGCTATTTTCGTTGCTGTAGACAAGTTGTCTAAGCGTCCGAAATATGCACCGACCTATACGACTGCTGATGCGAAGGATACAGCGGAAGTTTTCTTTAATGCTGTTGTCAGGCACCATGGATTACCGCAAGTGATTATTAGTGATCGAGATCCAAAATTTATCTCGGATTTTTGGAAGTCACTAATGACACTGATGGGTGTCAAACTGAGTATGACTACGGCTCATCGAGCTCAAGCCGATGGCCAGACAGAGCGTCAGAACCTAGTGCTCGAAGATGCGCTGAGATGCATGGTGTCATATCATGGAGATGATTGGGTGAAGCATCTCGGAACGATTGAGTATGCTCATTCAACATTGGTAAACGCGTCGACTAAATTGACTCCATTTGAAGTCGACACAGGCCGCAAAGTTTCTAACGTTGTGGCAGAAGAGATGAAGGATTTATTGCGTAAAGAAGACGACGTCACACTGGCCGAGTACGCAAAGAACTTTGCTAAGGAACGACAGGAGATCGTAGAACGTGCCCAGAAGAATTTGAAAGAAGCACAAGACAGACAGAAGGAGTACTATGATCGCAAACGCAGGCAAGTGGTGTTCAAAGAAGGTGACCTAGTGTTACTTGATACGAAGAATTTACCACTCAAGACCGTCAACAAGAACACGGAGCTAAAGAAGGCGAAGTTAGCTGCGAAGAAAGTCGGTCCGTTCGAGATTGAACGGATGATAAATGACAACGTGGCAAAGCTGAAACTGCCGTTGTCAATGAAGAGACTCAATCCGACGTTTAACGTGGAATTGTTGTCTCATTATCTGACGAACACTACTGACTTTCCCAATCGCCCGATTCCGAAAGCTGTACCATTGATCTTGGACGACGACACGGGAGAAGAGCTCTATATTATCGAGCGTCTTATCAAGAGAAGGACCAGACGCCACAAGCGAGAATGGCTCGTGCAGTGGCACGGGTTGCCAAGACATGAGGCAACCTGGGAGTGCGAAGCGGATATCAAACACGTTTCGCATTGGCGTCAACTCCTGGAAGGGTTTAAATTCCGCCAAGGCGAGATCAGCCCGGGGGAGATGTCATACCCGCCTCCGGCTTGCTGAGCAAGCAAGCCAGAGAGCTCGGGTGCAAAGGCTCTGGCTTGCTTGCTCGCAACCAGAGGCCTCACGTCGCTGCTACCGTTGCCTTCAAGGCCAACAGCAGCAGTGACGATGCATTTAGTAGCAATGAACATGCATATAAGAGAAAAGAAAAGTAAAAGAAACAGAGAAAAGAAGAAAACACAAAGACACGAGGGTAGGGATACAAAAACAAGTAGACAAGAAGGAAGCCCCTGTGCTCGCCTAGAAGCACATGAAGGCATGCATTTGGAAGTAAGAACTCACTCTTAAATATACCAACTACCCCCAAGCCTCGAGACCAACACCTACAACTACAAGACCTACAATCTCCAAGTGACCTACACTCTCCTGCGACCAACACTCTACAGCCCCAGTCATTACACTACTAAATCCGATTGCTTAAAATCATGATTTGGATATACTGTGAGTGGCTGACTGGCAGGTAAATGGCAGTATTTACCAGTACCAAATTCAACTATGGTCCGATAACTTTCATATATATCCATAAATATAGAAAACCACAGACTTGAGCACGACAATACAGCGAAATGAGATACCAGAAGCTTTTTTGCTACTTTACTCACAAAATTCCAGCTTATATATGGTGCTGTTATGTATTGTGAGCGTAGTGCGTCTTTTTCTCATGACTCGCGTGTTCACTACTGTACAACACGTGCGGCCCGTCTAAGGCGATACATTCCCTCCAAAACTGTTGGCTGTTTGCTCATTGCGCTTACTTTGCAAGATCAATAGCTGGACAGAGGAAGCGGAGGAGAGACGTCGCTGGCGCCTGCGGGGGCATATGAAGAGCCCCCACTGCTAAACGTGCGTGGACAGAGGGGGAGCCGACAGGTCACCGGGGTCTCAGTCGCGTTAATTCTAATAGTTTCTGTTCGTCCTGGAAGGTGTGTTGGTAGGCGCTGGTGTGAACGAGATTGCTTAAGAAAAGATAGAAGGCCTGGCGAATAGCACTACTAGCGCCTTGACGTCGTCCCACAATGAAGTCGTTGCCCATTCGAGAGTGAAGGCGTGGAGGACCTGCCCGTCTTGTGATTTGGCGTCGTAGGAGCGTGAGACCCTCTAGCGCATAGCTCTCTGCTGTCGTTTGGAAGCAAGTGGAAGCTTATGTAGAAGCTGGACGTACCCTGCGGCATTCGTACATGTGTGTGTTGGCATTTGTCGGCGTCGTAATCTGACGTCCAAAAGTAAGCCTCACGAGCTAATTTTAATAACAGCTAAAATGGCGGAACAAGAACGGCAGCAGCTACATGGAACAGGCACACCCGTAGTCGAAACGTATTTTTTGTCTGTTACGCATTGGTACTCCTTAGTAGACCAAAATCACTCGACTACATGTAGTCTCAGCCCTGCGCAAACCTTATATCGAATAGAAACAAGACGGAGCTCTGTCTAATTTTTTTCGAAAGGTGCATTACGTTCTGGACGGAGGTAGTACGAAGCCTATCGCAATGAAGTATGTAGCCCGAGATGTCTATCGTGCCGATAAAGCAGTGTTGATGCTTATTTTTTCTCTTTGTTGGGTAAGTGTTGGAATTGCTTGATGTAGTTGGTATTAAAGGTGGACATATCCAAACCAAGCGCAACTTTAACGTAAGATAATGATCTCTTAGCATTTTTCCAAGTTCGGATGTTTGCCAAATGCTGACCCTCGTGTTGGTGCATGTAGACAGCCCAGAGGTTCACTATGGTGCCTTCGTCTTATTGCCTCTTCACTGACTTGTCGAACCTTTTCATGAATCGCAAGTAGATCTCGAAACCTTTGGTGAATTTTAATTCGTCCACGGGAACATCGATCAGCCCCAAACGACGTCAAACAGTCTTCAAGTTATCTCCACGAATCACCCAGTTGTCGAGCATTTTTCCTTTCATATTGTACCTGTATTTTTGCAAGTGCTCATAGTTGGCATGTTTCTCAGCGCCGCACTCGATAACCCTTTCAGTCCCAGTATCTTCATGACATCGTCTTCTTTTTTGCCTGTCATTGACCAGTATTTGTTTTTTGTCCACGAAGACAACTTGAATGGCAGAGCTCTGTCTTCTCCGCCAATTAACTATGGTACGGACTCGTTCTCGTTCTGCTGGGTTCGTGGTATTGTCCCATCGTGTGCACCGCTGTTGAACCGTTGCTCGAAGGCCGTTGTGAGTGTTTTTCTGCTGACAGAGAGAAGAAGCACCATCCTTAATAGTTTGTTGTAAACAGACATGGTGTAAGTCTGGGAAGTAGCACGCAAAATACCGAGTGAAAAGAAATGGTTTTAATGCAGCGATTTTCTTGTAAGTATGATACATTGCCAGAAGGTGCAGCCATTCGATGACGAAGCCTCGTAATCCCACATTAACCGGACATTTTAAAGGGATTAATGAATGTGGATCTGCTGTGTATTTTTACAATCTTAAGTGGTATAAATTGACAATTATGAGGTGCCATCACACAGATTTTTTGTGCTTTCCCATTGGCTGCAAAGCGAAGCGAAGGCGGCTCCAATTGGTTAAAACAGGATTGTATAGTTACTTCAGTAAATCCGTGTGGTTCACAATGTACATATGGAGATTTGCACAAGGCTATCCATTATCCGATGATAAAAACGATGCACCGTTTTCAAATTATTTTTTATTCTAATAATGCAGGCTGTTGTTATTATTCGAGTACTTAACTGAGGGCTTGCTTCCAATGCTGCAAGGTGCTTAGCAGACACGTAGGAATGCGTGTTGCCGAGGACATGCTGTAATTTCCTGTACTCATTAGTTTCTGGAAGTAACATTGACTAAACTAATAATTACAAGTGTTTTGCTGTAATAATAAGTGAGGTGTATTGTGTTACCAACCGTCTCCGGTCTAAACTCTAATACCCCTTCCCGCCCGGCATGTAGTGCTCGGCCAGATTGTACCCATCCTTCTTGGTACTTGCTGCCTCTTTGCTGTTTCTTGTGCTTGTTCTTACTAGTCTTTACTGTCCCTCTCGCTTCGCCACTGCTCGCAGTCGCCTGCGATCAATTGTTCCGCCGTTTGGCGCAGCTCGTGCTCCTGCACTTCCCGGCTAGCTCCATATACCACGCTCCGGTTAGTATCCATTGCGTAATTTGCCAGCCAGTCTGCCGTCTTGTTGTTCCTTCTGTAGTGATGTCTCCACTCCGTTATCTGCAGCTGGTCCGCTAGCTTCCTCGCCAGTTGATACCAGTGCTTTAACCTCTTTACCTTTGGCTCTCGTCTCCTCTTTAGCAAGCCCAGAATCATCGCGCTGTCCCCTATCACGTGCGTACCGCTCCATTGCTTCGCCACCGCTTCAGCTAGTAGTCGCTGCAGCCCCACGAACTCTGCCACGTTGTTGGTCATGTGTCTGCTGCTTAGTAATGTGGCCGCCGCCCAGACCACCTTATACGTCTCTTCTTCTTTTCCCCATTCCACTAATACGCTACCGCTTCCTCCTGGTCCGGGGTTCCCTCTGGATCCTCCATCGAAAACCCCCAGCAGTACTCGTTCGTTGGTTCTTTCTCGACTTCCAGCAGTCATCCTTACGTCCGCCCACTGCCTTCGAATTCGCTCCACTACCGTGAGCTTCTTGTACGACCGCGCTGTTAACGGGAAGAGGCCCGCTCTGTACCTTAGTAGGACTTCCTTCATCCTTTCCCCTGTTCGCTGTATCTCGGCCACCTCTTCCGGTCTGCTGTTCCCGTCCGGATAGCGTTCAGCTACTTTCCAGCGCCAAAGAGCTGTAATCATCGTCGCGCATCCCATTGTCCACACGGCGCCTGCTACTTCGTGCATCTCGTTCCATCGTTCGTCTTGTTGTTCATTGCCCCACTCTATTAGCCAAGCTGGCAGCTTGCTCAACTTTAAGGCAAAAATGTCTTGTATCGCTTCCTTGTCGTGCTACGCCTCCCCTTCCAGTGCTGGCATTCCCCACAGCTCTAACATTGTGCTCCATATTGCTCTTGCGTCCGGGCATTGCCACAGCAGGTGCGCTTGGCCGTGAGCCGATGACTTCGCGCACCTCGCCCCTACGCACGCGTAGTCATGTGAGGTTCCATTCCACAGGCGGAGTCTTCCCATCTTCATTCTGACTATGTTCTGTTTCTGATACGGCGTGACTCCATGCAACCTCTGGACGTGCTTCCAGGTCAGCTCCGTGAGGGCCCTGTGTAGCTCCTTGTGCTCGTTAGCCAACTTGTTGGTCAGGGGTTCCTGTGCTTGGGCCACTCTGTCTTGCCGCCGTTTCGCGATTACCCTTTTGTAATCTCTCTGCGCTCTGCTCCATCTCCGCTTACCCATCCACAGAGGCCTCATATGAGTCAACGCCGGGTGCGGCGCTACCCAGACCGCCTCTTTTCTCGTCTGAAGCAGCGCGGCAATATTAGCTTCAGTCGCTACGATGCTGCCCCCTTTAGCTACTTCTTGCTCCTCAAAAGCCCACCCGTGATAGAGTTTGTCTTCTCCTGTGGACTGCTCCACCCAAAAACGGTGGTGCTGATCATCTAATGTGTGCTTGACTCGCAATTTGTTTTCTTCATCCGGCTTGGATATTAGCTCCGGAAATTGCGCTAGTAGCGAAAGTGCGATCTCCCGCAACAGGTGAGCCTGTCGACTCTCCATGGGTAACTCCACGGTCTGTGGGATCATCAGCACCTTTCCGTGTCCGACGTGCTCCACCTTGATAATGTCCTTTATCTTCTGCACTTTGTGACCATCCAAACGCCTCCTGTAGCTGGTCCATTTCTGCTTCTCCCTCTTGCATCCCTCAGTCTCAGTTGATGATAATCTTGTTCCAGTACCGCTGAATGGATCAGTTTTCCTCTGAGCTCTTCCTTGCGCTTCTTGGCCTCCTTCATTAGTCCCAGCAGTCTCGATTCTATCTGACACATCAGGCCTCGTTTGTCCCAGCCCCATCTCGTGCTTCATCTCTTTCCTGAGCGCCACCTCTTCTTTATGGTCGGGATCAGTTTCTTCTGGTGCGAAGACCGTCGCCACCACCGGAGCCCCGGTTGCCCATAGTCCCTCCTTCCACTTCAGTTTTCCTGCCGCCTGTGTCGGTATAATGTGCCCTATCTGAAGCCCCTCCATACTCTGGAGTAGCGTGCCTGCCACTTGGGTCCTCTTGGTTAGTGCTGTTGCCCACTTCTCCACTGTCGTCGCTGCCATGGCCACTAACTCCGTCCTAATGTTGGGGATTCCTATGCCCCCCTTCTTAGGACTCAACTCTGCCACCGCTGTCTGTATCCATCCGCGAGGCGGAATATCTGGTTTTGCGAAAGAGGAGTTCCACACAAAGTTCCTAATTCTCCAGTCTGCCTCCTGCGTGAGCTTTTTGTTTGGCCATGCATGCCGCGCCACGTACAACAGCTTGGGTATGATGATCGCCGCTGCTATCGCTGCTCGTTCTTGGACAGAGTTCGTTTTTTCGACAGCGAGTGCCAATCTGGCGGTCAACGCCGCAAAGGCTTTCGTCCATGCACTCACAGTCGTGTCATCTGGTCCTGTAATATGTCCCAGGTATCGGGTCTCATTTATCTCTGCTACCGGTTCCTCGTCACCCGCCGCCCTGTCAGCTGCGCTAGTGAACCTCCCCAGTTTAACTGCCACCGACTTCTTCAGGTTAAGTCGTAGTCCCGAGACGTTCGAGAATCTGTTGACTACCCCCAGTGCCGCCTTCTGCATGCTCGAGTGTGCAATATAAATCGCAGTGTCGTCCGCATATCCAGCTACTCTTGATTCTTCTCCGTCTGCTCCTTTCTCCAGCCTCACACCTTCCAGATATTGATCGTTCTACACCGCATCGTACAGTAGGTCCACTGCTAATATGAATAAGAGAGGGGCCAAGGGACACCCTTGCCTGATGCCGCTCGTGACTTCCAGCGCTCTCGATAGTGATCCGTTAGCCATAAATTGCACGGTGGTGGCTTCGTGTGTCGTTCTCACGATCTCTCTGAATTTTGGTGGGAAACCTTTCGCCTCCAATACCTGGTGTAGGAATTCCCTGTCCAACGAATCATAAGCTTTGGCGAAGTCCAGCAGAAGCACTTGCGCTCTGTCGTACACCTCCGTGCCTTTCGCTGCCAGTTTCGTCGCTTCCAGCAGATCTATTGCTTCGTGAATCTGTCTGCCTGGTATGAACCCGTATTGCGTGGGGTGCACTAACTTCGTGATGTGCACTCTGACTCTCCACGCTAGGATTCGGGTGAAGATTTTGTAATCGGTGTTCAGGAGCGCTATGGGTCTGTAGTTGAGCCCGTTGCTCGTGTCCCCTCCCTTGGATATACTGAATATGTATGC